AAGCAAGAAAAAAAAAAAAAAAAAAAAAGCTTGTTGAAAAGAATAGTCCCCAACCAAATTAGATATTGCAAATTTAAAATGTCTATTATCAAAGAAATACAAATTGAAATTTTTGAAAACGTGGAAACATGTTGGCCTTCAAGAAGTTCTATTAGCACTGTCCATGAAAGCCATATTAAGCTTAACAAGAACTATCCAGGTACCACCCAGAGGATGCCACCAAGGCACCAACCATAGTTGTAAGTATACACCTGACCTCAAGGGAACTGTTAACTACCAGCCTATTCAGTATTCAACCCTCTTGGTCTTCAAATCCATAATGTTAAATCCAGGGAATAAGCTCAAGATAAATTATTTAAAACCAAGAAAGAGTAGCAAATATCCAGGTGACTTACCAATGTTACTCCTTCTTTAGAGAGTTCCTCTAAAGCTTCACGATCAAAAACTTTCCCATCTAGTGGTGTCTCATCAATCTATTGAATCAACTTCTTCAGAGACAAGAGATTCAAGGTAAATGAAAGGGAGGGACAATGCTCTGAGAAATAAAAGTAAAATTCTAACCTTCCAGTCCCCAGTGTGAAGAATTGTACCATCAGAACAACGAAGAACTAGTCCACAACAATCAGGAATGGAATGGGTCACCCTTATAGGTTCTATCTCAAATGGCCCAGCCACAAACTTTTTCCTGGTTCTAAATACTTTGAGCCTAGATGGAACAAAAATACCATGTTCCTTCAAACGTTTTCTAATAAGCTGTTAGAAAGAAGAAAAAAATTACTTCTCTGGACTAAACAAAATAAACAATAAAACAATACAGAGAACAGATATTTGATAACCAAATTGGGTACCGAATTTTTAGTAATGATGGCTATCAATTACAAATTTACAATAACAGAATGAAGAATTCAAGAGATAGATAGTCAACTTCATGACATGTTAACACTGATATCTATCTTTTATCACTTCCTATGGATCAATATTGTCAATCAATTCCACACAGCAACTGAACAAATTAACGAGTTGCATTTATAATTTCATATAAAGAAATTTTCTGGCAAGATACCTCCATTGTAAAGGATGATGCAAAAATTGGTGTATTGGAATCCAATGCTGGGATGACCTGATGATAAACCAATGTAAGTTATATTAAAAGTAGACATAAAGAAAGAATAGTAGACATAGTTATGATTTATGAATAATCAATTAGAATCTCTAGTCAGAAACTGATAATACTAATACCTATAAACATCAATTTTTTTGAATTTCGACAAAAGAATAACCAAGTATATCTTGTCAAAGCATCCTCGATGAAATCTGGTGTTAAACTTCGTAATTATGGTAATATTGTAAATAGGGCAGATCATCTTGTTGTAACCATGTTAATTAGGGTAACTGTATGTTCTTGTAATTATTCTTGTATTTATGTTACCTATTAGAAATATTTACTCCACTGTGTACTTCAAACACACAGAATCAATCGCAGGTTCTCTCGTTCCTCTATTTCTCTCAACATCCAGAAAGAGATATATGAAGCTCAAGGTAGAAAAAACAACTAGAGTAGCAAGAGAAAATAAAATGCACGCTAGCTCAAAAGAGCTCTTCAAATGCTACGTGAATAGGTACGAAAAATGCCTCTCCCAGTTAAAAAACATTTATTTACGCAAACAGTCCAAGAAGAGCACTAACTCTGTCCCAAAGAGGTAGAGGGATTAGGGGGAGAAATCGTAATCCAAGAATCTCTAAACTGAATGGATAGGAAATTGTGCAAGGAACCTAGACCTTAGTTATTTTAAAAAGAAAATGCATAAATTCAATTCCAAAATGAAAAGGAAGTGGTGCTCGCTGCTCAGTTGTCTATGAATTCCGAGACTACATAACACAAAATTCAACAGAAACATCCTTGCCAGGGAGGGACAATGCTCTGAGAAATAAAAGTAAAATTCCGACCTTCCAATAGCAACCACAGTTCAAACAAAACTCTCTCCCTTAAACTAAATCCCGTTCTCTGACTCGCCACTAACAAGTCAAACTAAGTAGAGAAGGAAGCATTACCCAAGGCAACGCACCAATATGATCTTCATGACCATGTGTTATGACGAGAGCTTCAATCTTGTGGCTCCACTTCCTTATAAAAGTCGTATCAGGTATAATCTTCTGAACTCCAAGTTCATCATAGCTGAAACACGCACACAATCCACAATCAGGACCGTTTAAATAAACTTCTCATAAACTAAAACTAATTTATCCTTAGTTCATTTTTGTCTTTCTATTTTTCTCTCTTCCTACAGAATTTATCCAAACATGCAATTAGCATGAAATACGCATTTATTTCACATAACATAAGACTAGAGGTTTTAGTTTACTCTGGAAACATGACACCAGCGTCAATGAGGATATAACGGTCATGGTTCCCGACGAGCATGCAATTCATCCCAATCTCCCCCAAACCGCCGATAGGGAGAACGCGAAGCGGAGGCCCGTCGGAGCCTTCGTAGAACTGCTCCATCTTGCGCTGAACGGAGTCCTCCATGCTCTTTCTAGGTCCTTCTATTCGCCCCGCTCTTCTCCGCGGCGCTTTGGTTTTGGCTCCATCGGTGCTTCCTGGACACGCACACAGCGGAGACATACACATTACGCGAATGCCGTGACCTAAAAGCGAAAATAGCGTGAGTTCGGAGTTCGGTTTACCTGGGAGTGCGGCGGAGAGGGTCGCGGTTGGCTTGAGGCGGAGAGAGAGAGGGCGGAGAGAGAGGGAGAGAGAGGTGAGAGCGGCCATTGGAAGCGAATGCGAATGCGAATGCGAATACGAGTTTGGTTTTGGTTTACAAGTTGAAAGCTCGAAGCAGAAGCAGTAGCGGCATAGCGGGAAATGGAGTTTTCTGCATTCCTTCGCTCACTCTCATTTCGGAAATATCTTTCTTATCGAGTTTCGTATTGCCGAACGTGCTTCCCACACGTGTGCCAAAATCTTCTCTACCCGTTTCTATAGGGGAAAGTTAGATATTAGTCTTTGGAAGGATTAACATCTTTAAATTTTTATTATAATTATATTAAGGTTATATACTTGTTGATATATTTAGAGACAAACATGTTATACCCATGAACTTAGATCATTAACTTATATAGAAATACTTTTGACTTAAATGACTTTTTAATGCATATAAAATTGAGTTTTTTTATTTTATTTTTTATTTTAGTTCTCTTACTTTTTTTTTATTCTTATTATTAGATTGACTGTTAAATTTAACAAAAAAAATTCAAAAAACTATAAATACCCAAATAGAAAAATCAAAAGAATTATAAGGACCAAATTTTACCAAAACAAAAAAAGAGGGAGAAAATCAAAATAAAAAATAACTATAATTAAAATTATTAAAATGAAAATAATTTATTTTATAGGAACTAAAAGTTTATTTGAGTCAAATTTATAAAGTTTAAATCCTTAAATACAATAAATGCACTAATACAAAGTAATAAAAAAAATATGATAAATGTGTTAGTTAAAAAAAAACTAGCAAAAAGTTTTATAAAAATTAAATGAACAACTTCGTAAAAAGTTATACAATTACAAAATAATCATTATAAATATACAAAAAGTAAATATAATAAATAAGTTTAAAAAAATAAACATGGTGTAGAAAGAGAAAAATTAATCATAAAATAAGAACATGAAATAATAAAGAAAATCAATGAATAATGAACAAAATTTCATTATCATTCTTTTTATATCATATAGATATCTATAATAGTATATTACATTAGCAAAAAAAATCCTTTTTTTTAATTATTCCATGCTAGTATGTTACAATTTATTTTGTTATTACTATTCTCCATTTGTTATATTTCCTTCATATCTTGAAGGTGATTATAATTTTATTAGACTTCTATGAAATTTTGTGTTTAATGTTTAATTTTTTAAATGGTCACTAAAATTAAGATTTTTTACTTTGTATTAGTGCAAATCAAAGTTTAAACTCTACTAGTTTAGATTAAATAGAGCTTTAGTCCTTTTAAAATGATTGTTTTAATTGTAATCTTCTTAATTCTAGCTATTTTTGTTTTAATCCTCTTAATTTTAGTTATTTTTAATTTGGACCTTTAAAATTTTAATTTTTTTCATTTTGATCATTTTCTACTTTGCTCCCTATAATTTTCTTGAATTTTATCTTGGTCCTATTTTTTTTTTTTTTTTAACTTTTTTCCTGTAGATTTAACGGTCAAATTAACAACAAAGATGAAAATGAAATAAAAAAAATTACAGGAACAAAAATGATTTTTTTAAAAGGATAAAAAACAAAAATATCCTATTTTATAGGGATTAAAAAGTTATTTAAGCCAATAATATTTTTTGAAAAAAAGGTTTACTATAAGATTTTAAATTAAACCAAACTTGAAAAAAAAAAAAAAAAAGGAACCTTCAAGTAAACTTTAAAAAATAACTTATACTAATAATTGATTCAAATTTAATAAAGCTTAACTTAATCTAACCCATTTTCACCTTTGTGGCATAAAAGTTATGAGAAAACTCCATTTTATAATCAATTAGGCTAAATTCCTGATTGCTTTTTCTTTCACACATTTAAGCCTCATTTTAGGTATCTGTGTCCAAACAAAAACATAAAACATGAACAAAGCTTAGGGAGGTAAATGCAAAAGGGACAGGGTCCAAGGAACTATGTCATCATTTATTTCAATAAATACCAAGTCACCAGCCTTGTCTACAGCCTAAAGCAACATGAAAGCACTACTAACACTATTGCCCTGATCAGGAATTTGGCAGAGTAAGCACTAGTACAAGGATTGTCCAAGTTTGTTCATGTGAGATTGGCGTGTCCTGTAAACCAGGGTAATCCTACTTGAGCACATTGTTTTGTTTCTGGGGTCAGAACAATAGGTCCCAGAAAGATGCGCCACAAATCAAGTATTATTGTGACCAACATTGCAGCGCCCAAAGCATCGACAGCCACTCTGGCCAAGTCCCATTTGTCACCAGGTTTCTCATCTATCCTGCATATTTACAACATTCACCATCAATAAAATTAGCACAACATGCATAGACATGTTCCTCTTTTTGTGGTAGGGTATGCAACAACTACTTTCCAAAGAGGTACACCTTCAAAGAAATTCAAATACAGAATGAGGTAACTCAAATAACTGCTAGTTAAAAACTTACCTTAAAAACATTGGGAAGCTCACAATAAAGTATATGGCATAAAACAAAGATCCAACTTTATACATAGAGTCCCGATCCACGAATTCATAATAAGGGAACTGCATACATCCAATGCATAGCATTATTCTCAAAAATATGCATTTCATATTGAAGGTTAACTGCAGGGTGATATAGAATCAAATAACATCCAGGGTTATATACACTGAAAGATATATTAGTATTTGAGACTATTGCCATATTGAGGATTAAGAAGAAAAATATAGAAAACTAGGAAATTTGTCATTTATAAGAGCCTCAACCTTAAGCACAAAGGTAATTGTGTGTGCCCTGCTCACTGATACTGAATCTTGAGTTATAAAAAGACAAGATATCATCCTGATATAAGAAAATGTGTATCATCTTGAAGATAGGAAAAAGATACAGAATTTTAAATTAAAAGAAATAAAATAAGGGACAGATGTCTAAGATGGTTTGACAGATAAATCTAAGATGAAGGTCCCATAGCACAATAAAAGCAAGAGAAATTTAGGCAACAGATATGTTGCCAAAAAAGTAAAAAAGACAAAGAAAAAGATCAAGAAAGGAGAGGGATAAAGATATAAAACAACTAATCGGAAAATAAACCAATGCAACAGTTAAATAGAGTCAGATCCTCAAAATAGAATAGCCAAAATTGACTCATGTAGATTCCAAAAAAATGCATGTACACATGTTCTAACTCAAATAAGAAATTTAGGCTTGGGATGATTGTCATAATAAATAAAACCTTGGGAAAACTTCAACAACAAAGAATGAGGAACATTTAAATGCTATGATGCCTCAAAGCTAGTACAATCGACATAAATATTCAAAACAATTCATGAGTCATGATTAACAAATATCCCGAGCTATCAATAGCCAGTGATGTTATTTGATTCATATAGCCGATCTTGTGCAGTAGTAGAAGAGTTTTGTTGTTGTATCAAAAGACAAGGGTAAAATTAAGGCTTAACAAATATGTGAAAGCATATGTCATAACAATTCAAAAACTTTTGGGAAGGGAAATAAGGATATCTACTTGAAGATAGGGAAATTTCAATTGAAAGAAAACAATGCAGAACAGGAGTAAGTAACATACGGTTCCACCTAATATAATGCAGAGATGGAGGAGCCGTGATGCAATAGAAGCAAGAAAAATTGAAGTATAAAATTGCATATTCCTTAAATTGTACAAATACAGCAAAACTGAAATTGTTGAGTTTAGGTTTCAAGACTATATTTTTGATAGATAAGATGTCAGATAAACTTGAATAACAAGGAATAACAAAAATTAAGAATTGCAATGCATGAAAATATTAAAAAACACATGACTAAACAAAGATTGTAAAAAAAAAAAAGCAGAATGTTTTTACTACAACATACATTGGAAATAGCTAGAGTCTCCAGGTATGCAATAAAATAAGCAAGAGCAAGAATCCATCCAGCTTCAGTAGCCCATTGGATTTTTTCGGGCAAATCAGCAACAAAATGCCGTAATCGACGCAGTGTCAGGTTTGATGAAACATGATAAAACAGGAAGCAAACATGAGTGAGCAGGAATGTTGTGTGAGGTACCTGCCACCACAAAATAGAGCAATTCAATTAACAGTATGTGGTCTCACTAAGAGATAATCTATAGGTTTTCGGCTTACATTGTTCATTTTCCATGATGGAAAGGTATAAGATGCACCAAGAACTGTGAAAAAGTAATGAGTCCAGAAATAATTCCCAACATAACTGAAGATTATTATCCAAAGACTGGCCTGTCAGTATTAAATATGTACATGTTAGGCAGTGAGTAGGTCAACATATTAAACAAAAATATGTTCATTGTTAAATTGATACATAATAAGGATAGCAGAGCAATAAGTACCATTTGTTTTTTTGGGATAACACAAAAATAAAAAATAAATACATGACTGTTACAATGTTAGAAATAATGTATAAAGGGTAATTGTGTGGATATATATTATTATGTAATCATGTTAAGTAAGGTAACTGTAGTTTTGTAATCATGATACACTGTATCTAATAACCTCCATCGTGCAATTGAGTTGAGACACATGAAATTCATCACATGACTCATTTTCTCTCTCTCAATATGGTATCTAGAGCTTGAAAGAGACAACCTTAATCCTGGACCACACAGTGGGCCCACTGTCCATTAGTGCAATTTTCATTACCAAAAGTCACGCATCTCTGTTTTCCAGTCCCATTTCTTTTTCAAGATATGTTGCCCTTCCGATTGTTGCTTTCTCCCTTTGCTGGTGTGCTCTGTCACTCACTGTTCACTGATGGCCACCCACTTTTCTTATGACTTTTTTGATCACCAACCCCAAGATCAAGAGTGCCGTCTCAAGACCGACCAACACCTACACTTCATGATAAATAGAGCCCCCACACGCACATTGTTTCTGTTTGTCGTTTCTCTCTCATCGCTGTGACTTTGGGTCTCCAGCAGTGAATGAAGGTGTGTCCATCCCAAGGTTGATACTCCCATTTTCACCAAGTTAGTACTCCTCTCAACTAAAAAGTTGGATGGGAGAAACTATTATACTTATGCATTCAACATCAAACTTTGGCTTAAGTGGAATAACATTGAAGCTCGACGGTATCAATCTTATTCTACTTAGATCAATAAGTGGAATAAGATTGATTCCCAATTGTGTAATCTAGTGGTGACTCTACTTAATTGGGCATCAATCTTATTCCACTATTAATCTCTCTCTAAAGCAGATTTTTCTTTCTCATAGGGAATTTGATTGGGAGTAGGGTAAAGCTCTTCACACCAATGACACCAAACACATTTATTGGGTTTGCCAAAACCTTATGAGTGTCGTCCCTCAGAAACTTGATGGTCTGATGTCTAAATATTTGGGTAAACTGAGTGATGTCCTCCACAACTTTAATGAACTTTCTGCCCGCTATTCTTGATTTCGCAACACTAATATCTAATGCTCAAACACCAAAGGCTATCCTCATTGACATCCTTTGATGGTATGAGGCATGCCAAACCTCCAATTCCACTACCTTTATTGCGCACACAAGTGATTCCTTTATTAGTGTTTGTCACTCTTCATCTCTTGGTCCATGAGTTCTTAATTTAGGGCTAATGATCAAATCACTAGTAATAAGTTCCTTTTATCTAGTCTTTCTACTCTAGCTATTTACCTCCGGTCACTATGGCTAATGCATCTCAAACACAATCTCAAGGCATTGGTATTGTCCATCCTTTCCCTCTCTTGCAATTGACAATTAACTCTATGTTCTTAGGTCTCCATTCAATTTATTATTCACTAGTCATCTAATTCATTCTCTTGATTGTGTTGTATTTTTCACTAAAGATTTTATTTTACTATAGGACCAAGTTTTGGGATGAATGATTCGCAGGGAATATGAGTCTCATAGTCTTTATGAGTTCAACATCATTGTTCACGCTAGTTTGGTTGTGGATACTCCTTTTCTTGTCAAGGCTACAACAATTGGTTTAGAGTCTTTCTAAATTGTCCACTAAGTCTTGTGAGGCAGGTAAGCATATTCATAGTTCTTTTCTTAGTTGTATTAAGTGTCTAGCTATGTTGTCTTTTACTTTGGTTCATTTAGATGTATGGGTCCTAGTCAAATTGCATCCAATTTAGGTAAGACATTTTGTTACTTTTGTGGATAACTATTATCAGCGTACATGTACAACCACAAATTACCATTGTACATGGTTGTTAATAAAGAAAGATTGATCCAATGTTGTTTTCTATCTTCCAAAATTTGTCATAAAATAAAAACTCAGTTTGGTGTTCCCATTTAAACATTACATAGTGATAATGCCATGAGTATCTTTCCCAACATTATCAACCATTTTTGGCTTTACACGACATTCTTCATCAAATATATTGTGCTCATAGCCCTCAACAAAATAAGATTGTTCAACTCAAAAACAAAAGCCTTGTTGAGACCACATAGACACTCTTACTCTAGAGTAATGTTCATCATTTGTTGGGGGATGCTATGTTTAGTTGTTTACTACTTGTTATCTTATCAATCAAATGACATCATTTGTTCTAAACAACCAAATATCTTACTCCATCTTATACCTTCATCAGTTTCTACACCTTTTACTTTCTTGTGTCTTCGGATCTACATGTTTCATTCATAACATAACATAACCTTAATCTAGGCTCGACAAACTCTCAATTCGTTCTTACAAATGTGTCTTCCTAGGTTACACTTGCTCCCAAAAGGGTATAAATACCACCCTTGGGTTCTTCATTGTTACTCTTAAAAAAGTGGCTTTGGGCCTCACTCATCCTTACAAAATTGACTTGTAAGGTAAGGATTGTCCCCATTTATATACACTATTATGGTCATCTCACTGATTGATGTGAGATCTCCAAAACACACCCCTCATGTCGAGGGCTAAACATCTCAAGCATAAAATTTACAAGATTGGACATTTGCGAGAGGTTCGATAATGACTAGGTAGCAAGTGGCTAATGGCCTAATAAACCCAACAACAATTGTTATGATAGGCTTTGATACAATCTTCAGAAAATGGATTTGGACTACAAAACCATCTTGTAAGGTGAGAATTTCCCCCACTTATATACACTTTTATGGCCATCTTACTAGTTGATGTGGGCTCTCTAAAAGTTACTATATCTCAATTGATGTTACCTCTTGAGTTTGTCCCTTTATTTGCCTTTTCACAAGGCACTTATGAGTTTGTCTCTTCCTCGCCTTTGCCTATTATCCATATGCACTTTCATTCACCAAAAATGTCTTAAGTTCCAAAAGAACCACCTCTTCATTGCTCTCTATATGTATATCACCCCCGACAACATCCTTCAATTCACCCATTAGCCAATGATGGAACTCCTCCTAACTCTTCCAGAGCCAACAAATTCATCTTCTGCAACCATACCTCTAGGCACCGATCTTCTCATATACCCCAAAAAGGTATACATTCCACTTGTAACTCTTCTCCTCACTATGTTGCTTTGGGTTATCACCATTTTGTCTCCTATGCATTATACTAGTCTCTCTTCCTTGTCTTCTATGTTGATCTCTACGACTACGGATGTTGTCTTAGCCCATCTTAGTTGGCAACAAGCTATGATTGATGAGATATGTGCACTTCAAAACTATTGTACTTGGGACTTTGTTCCCTTTCCTTCAAGGAAGTCTAATGATGATTGTAGTAGGATTTATACAGAGGTGGGCCTTGATTGCAAAATTTAGATTATGGTGAAACTTTCTCTCTTGCGGTTAAAATGGCTTTTGTCAGATTTTTTTTGCCTTTGGATACTATTCACCACTAGTCATTATATAAGTTGGAGTTTAAGAATATTTTCCCTTGGTGATATCATAGAAGTCTACATGGAGCAACCTACATATTTTCCCTTCCAAATTCGAACTAGTTTGTTGTCTCTGCAAATCCTTATATGGTCTCAAACAATCTCTTAGGACAAGGTTTAGCAAATTCTACATTTTGGTTCAACAATTTAGTATGACTTAAAGTGAAGTTGGTCACTCAATTTTCTATTGTCATTCAACCACAAGATGCATTTACTTAGTTGTATGTCATAACTAGTAGTGATCACCGTGGCATTACACAAATCATCAAATAAATAAATTTATAATGTCAAAGTGATCATTTTCAAACAAAAGATTTGGGTGTTCTTCATTACTTCTTGGGAATAAAGGTAGCATAATTAAGAATGGTATTGTGATTTCATGGAGGAAGTAAGCAACAAATATTTTATAAGACACATGATTGAGGAATGTTAGGCCTGGTGATACACTTGTGGACTGCAATGCCAAATTTTGATCAAGTCTAAAGGACCCATTTTTTAGGCCTAGAGAGGTAAGGAAGACTAGTTGGGGAATTGAGTTACCTTATTGTCACTCATTGAAATATATAATAGCCTCTACTATGTAATTGAGATGGGAAATTCATCACATGTCTCTCATTTTCTTTCTCAATAAAACCCATTTTAGGATTCAGAACTTGATCTGCATACAAAATGAAAGGAAACTGCAAAGTGTAAAAGGCTTAATCAAGACACAAGAAATTGCATCAATCCAAGTCATCCCCCATTACAAGAGGATCGGCTAGCATCCCTTCATATATTGGACCTTAACTTGAAGATTATGGTACAAACTACAGGCCATCTATCTAGAGGGAATCATATGGTTTCCTTTCAAGAATGCCTCAAATGGATGGATAAACTCACATAATTCCTATGGTCATGCCCTTTCTTGCATGCAATATAAAAGCAGATTTCAATCTAAACCTACTTTTTCGCTTTATTATTTTGGATTGAAACCGATTTTGTCAACATTTTAAGATTAAGAAGCAAATACAAGATTAATGGCATAGTTATAGTTCTAGAGAGGCCTCTAATGGGGAATGTAGGAGTAAAGGGAAAGGATTCGGGGAGGGGGATTGAACCCCACAACAACCCTTTGTAACAGCAGAGCCAGGCATGGCAGGTAATGACTGGTTCTATTATGCCTACGAAAACTATTTTTATAAACATAAAGACTATTAAATACTCAAAAATAAGTTAAACATACAGCAATATACAAAAAAAAAAATTTCAAATATCACAAAATAATACCTTACGACCACACTACACAATACTTACTAAACTCACAATACAGCACAACCACAACAAATATTTGGAAAATTTTACCACATAAAAACACTTGCCTTGATCCAATAACGATCCTTCCAAGAGACGCTCTTATCAGCCTGCAAATTTTGATATCAAAAAAGAAACAAACCACACTAACTACATCAGCAGCCAGAAAGAGGAGACAAACCATTTTCTCACTCCGTAGAGTCACTACTAAAGATAATAACGTAATTATTATTAGAACAAACAATAACACATGAAATCTCGTGAAGTGAAGCCCAAGGGAGAAGCATGCACTTGTTTAGGCTTCAATTGATAAAATAAACCAATAGGAAGCAATAAGCAATCATTCCATTACCTTTCCAACAAACAGCATTGGAATGGCGAAAGCAGGAACAGCGGAGACCAATCCGAGAAGCAAATACTCCAATTCCGTGAATTTCTGCCGAATTGCATGGCCTTGTTTCAGTGAAACTCATAATCAAAACTAAAAAAAAAAAACAATTTTTATGACTGATATAAAAAAGGTGGAGAAGGAAAACCTCGTAGAGATTGAAGGGAATAACAATGCCGAGACAAAGGGTGAGCCAGAAGGGGGTGTAGAGAAGGAAGAAGAGTTCGCCCCATCTTTTGCTGGGGTTTGGAGCGAGCCACAAGCTGGGGGAAGCACAAGCTGCAATCGTCACAGAGGGGTGAGATTAGAGAAATGGAATAGTTTTTTTTTTTTTTATCCATAAAAATTACAAGCACAGCAACATTTTCCGACATAGAAATTAAGGAAGGCAACACGTTCCCACATGAGAGAAAGAAAGCGAAATTGTGAATCTGAAGGGAAAAGGAAAGGTACGTACCCTTCATGTTGGAATGCGATCTGGTTGAAGGGGATGCGAGATGAGATGTGGATTGGGATGGAACGAATGCCTCTTAACTAAATATTTTCACTCCGAAGTGGCACTTTCACTTTCACTTTTACTTTCGCGTGAGTCGCTTCGATGATGGTAGGATAGTGAAACAGTAAGAATGAGCACCGCAAGATTCGATTTCTTTTGTCAGGTTATACGAGGTAAATGTTCTTTATTAGTACTTCAACCTGTAGTTGAGTCATTTACTTCGACCCTAATTAATTTACGCCTTTCATAATAATGGAAACATTAAAGATTAGTCGAGTGACAAAATAATAACACGATTCTCTCTGCCACTCATTCATTCACTATATTTTATTATTAATCAAAAAAAATTATACATTTTTTTGTACTAGGTATTATTTTTTAATTGTGGTTGGTATTACATGTTTTCCTATCAAAATTAAAGTTTTGTTTCGATAATATGCATTTAAATTTAATACAAATCTTCTTAATATATATTTATGTATATTATCTTAATAAGACTTAAATCTTAATTAAAGAATAACAGTAATCATATTTAAAGAAATATAGTTAAATTTTATCTTTTTACATTTTAGTTGGTTTGTTTTCATGATTTAGTGATAAGATTGTTAAAACATTTGACTTTCAATTAATTATAGATAGAGTATTGCAAAGAGAGTGCTAAAGTGAATGTGTAACACTTCTCATAATGAAATAACACCTTCATTTCATATTAATTCATATTACGTATGTCCCTTATTATAAGATATAACTAAAAATAATTTTTTATTCTTTTATATAAGATTCAATTCGTATTATATCGTGTATCAATTATTTTTAGATTAAAATATATTTAATTAAAATATATTATCTTAATTTGATCAAATACATCAATTAAAAATTATCTAAATAATGTGTACTCTAATTAATTAAGAGAGATGGGTATTAATTAGGAAAGATAAATAATATATGACATAAACTCTAATTAACTAAGGGAGAGGTTAATATTAATTAGGAGAGGGGTAATATAATAGTAGGTTTAAAAAACCATTAAAAATGTCTTGCTAACCAATGTTTTAAAGGCACTAATTAAAGAATTAATGTATAAAAAATTTCATTGAAAAGAAAAATAAAGTTAAACCAAAGAGTGTACAAATACATTATTTAATAACGACTTTCTACTTTTAATTCCTTAATTAGTGCACTAAGGGCACCTGGTTAGCATCTTCCGAGAAAAAAATTATAAAAGGGATAATTATCATTTAAATTAATTATTTTTCTTAATCTTAGTGAATTAAGTAATTGAGTTTTCTATACAAGAACGAGGAAAGGAGATCTCAATATCTCAACAAATTAATTTTTAACATATAGTTAGAAATGGTGTAAAAAAACATTTATTTAAAAATAGGGGTGTATATAAGTCAAGTTATTTATGAATTATTTGGACTTGATTCGTCAATTACTCATTCAAGCTCGTTTATTTAATTAAATAAATAAATTCAAGTTTGAGATGAAACTTATTATTTAAATGAGTTAAGTCTAAGCTTTAAAAGCTCAACATTAAGATTCATGAATAACTCAATTATATATTCACTAGAAAACAGATATAAAATCACATAAAATTTATTTAACATAATTTGACCCTTGACCCTTCATAAATATTTAGTTTGAAATGGTGTAAAAAATGTTTAGTTAAAAAAATACGAGGGGTAAATAAATCAAGTTATTTATGAACTATTTGAACTTAATTTGTCAATTACTCATTCAAACTCGTAGCTTTTATTAAATAAACAAAATTCAAACTTGATATTAGACTTATTATTTTAAATGAGTTAAGTTTAAGCTTTAAAAGCTTAGTATAAGCTTTAAAAGCTCACATTAAGGTTTGTGAATAAATCAATTATATATATACATTAGAAAATATAAAAAAAAATTAAAATTACATAAAATTTATTTAACGTGGCTTGACTCTTCAGTTCTTCGTAAATTATCTAGTTAAAAATGGTGTAAAAAAAATATTGTTAGAAATAGGGGTGTCAATAAGTCAAGTTATTCATGAATTATTTATATTTGATTCGTCAATTACTCATTTAAACTTATTTATTTAATTAAATAAACAAATTCATGTTTGAGATTAAACTTGTTATTTAAATAAGCTAAGTTTAAGCTTTAAAAATTGATCTAAGCTTTAAAAGCTCAACATTAAGGTTCATGAATAAGCCACCTTCAAACCTCATCTCCACAAGCTTCTCTCTTTATTAATAATAACCTCTATTTACATTGATTATCAACTTGAAAATTTACATATATATAATAATATATGGCATGAACTCTAATTAGTTAAGGAAGAGATTGATATTAATTAGGAGAGAGGTAATATAATAGTAGATTTAAAAAAATGGTCTTGCTAACCAATGCTCTAAAGGCATTAATTAAAGAATTAATATATAAAAAAAATTCATTGAAAAAAAATAAAAGTTACACTAGAGAGTGTACAAACACATTTTTTAATAACGACTTTCTACTTTTGATTCTTTAAATAATGTACTAAGGGCACCTAGTTAGCAATTTCTAAGAAAAAATTATAAAAAGGATAATTATCAACTAAATTAATTACTTTTCTTAATCCTAGTAAATTATGTAATTGAGTCTTCTATACAAGAATGAGGAAAGGAGATCTCAATTTCTCAAAAAATTAATTTTTAACGTATAGTTAGAAATGGTGTAAAAAATGTTTAGTTAAAAATAGGGATGTAAATAAGTCAAGTTATTCATGAATTATTTGGACTTGATTCGTCAGTTGCTCATTCAAGCTCGTTTGTTTAATTATATAAACAAATTCAAGTTTGAGATTAGAGTTATTAGTAAAATGAGTTAAGTCTAAGCTTTAAAAGCTCAACATTAAGGTGCTTGAATAACTCAATTATATATATATACAGTAGAAAATAAATACAAAATCACATAAAATTTATTTAATGTAGTTTAATCCTGCGAGCCCTCATAAACTATTTAGTTAAAATGGTGTAAAAAAACGTTTAGTTAGAAATAAGGTTATAAATAAATCAAGTTATTTATGAATTTGGACTTGATTCGTCAATTACTTATTCAAGCTCATTTGTTTAATTAACTACACGAATTCAAGTTTGATATTAGACATTATTTAAATGAGTTAAGTCTAAGCTTTAAAAATTTAGTCCAAGCTTTAAAAGCTCAACATTAAGGTCCGTAAATAACTCAATATTATGTATATACATTAGGAAATAGATATAAAAAAATCACACAAAGTTTATTTAACATAATTTGATCCTTCGGTCCTTTATGAATTATATTTAGTTAAAAATGGTGTAAAAAAAATGTTTAATTAGAAATAGGGGTGTAAATAAGTCAAGTTATTCATGAATTATTTATATTTGATTCGTCAATTACTCATTCAAACTTGTTTATTTAATTAAATAAAAAAATTAAAGCTTGAGATTAGACTTGTTATTTTAACAAGCTAAGTTTAAGCTTTAAAAATTGATCTAAACTTTAAAAGTTCAACATAAGGTTCATGAGTAAGCCACTTTCAACACCTCATCTCCATAAGCTTCTCTCTTTATTAATAATAACCTCTATATACATCGATTATCAACTTGAAAATGTATATATATGTAATAATGTATGGAATCACTCTAATTAATTAAGGAAGAGGTTGATATTAATTAGGAAAGAGATAATACAATAGTAGGCTTAAAAAAATGGTCTTGCTAACCAATGCTCTAAAGGCATTAATTAAAGAATTAATATAAAAAAAATTCATTGAAAAGAAAAATAAAGTTACACCAGAGAGTGTACAAACACATTTTTATAATGACTTTCTACTTTTGATTCTTTAATCAATGTACTAAGGGCACCTAGTTAGCATTTTCTAAGAAAAAAATATAAAAAGGATAATTATCAACTAAATTAATTACCTTTCTTAATCCCAGTGAATTATGTAATTGAGTCTTTTATACAAGAATGAGGAAAGGAGATCACAATTTCTCAAAAAATTAATTTTTAACGTATAGTTAGAAATGGTGTAAAAAAACGTTTAGTTAAAAATAGGGATGTAAATAAATCAAGTTATTCATGAATTATTTGGACTTGATTCGTCAATTGCTCATTCAAGCTCGTTTGTTTAATTATATAAAAAAATTCAAGTTTGAGATTAAACTTATTAGTTAAATGAGTTAAGTCTAAGCTTTAAAAGCTTGGCCTAAGCTTTAAAAGCTCAACATTAAGGTTTGTGTATAACTCAATTATATATATACACTAGAAAATAGATATAAAATCACATAAAATTTATTTAGCATAGTTTAATCCTTTGACCCTTCATAAACTATTTAGTTAAAAAATGGTTTAAAAAAACGTTTAGTTAAAAATAAGGGTATAAATAAATCAAGTTATTTATAAATTATTTAGACTTGATTCGTCAATTACTCATTCAAGCTCATTTGTTTGAAATTCAAGTTTGAAATTAGACATTATTTAAATGAGTTAAATCTAAGCTTTAAAAGTTTAGTCTAAACTTTAAAAGCTCGACATTAAAGTATGTAAATAACTCAATTATATATATATATATATATATATTAGAAAATAGATTAAGAAAATCACACAAAGTTTATTTAACGTGATTTGATCTTCCGGTCCTTTATAAATTATTTAGTTAAAAATTGTGTAAAAAAAATGTTTAATTAAAAATAAGGGTGTAAATAAACTAAGTTATTCATAAACTATTTAGACTTAATTCATCGATTACTCATTCAAACTCGTTTATTTAATTAAATAAACAAATTCAAACTTAAAATTAGACTTATTATTTAAATAAGCTAAATTTAAACTTTAAAAATTCAGTCTAAATTTTAAAAACTCAACATTAAACTTCATGAATAAGTCCCTGTCAACACATCATCTTGACAAAACTTCTCTCTTTATTATAATAACATATATTTACATCGATTATCCACTTGAAAATTTTACATATATGTAATAATGTTATTTATAATAACATTAATTCCCATACAAAACAACAACAGATTGAATGCCACAGTGAATGCATGCCCACGTACGTAAACGTATCATGTCTCGTATTATTTCTTTCAGGGGTGAATGGCATACCAAGTTTGGATAAAAGTGAGGGCAAGCCCTAACACTGCAGCATGGAAGGCAATGATAGACCAAGGGTTGCCGAAATAGTTATGACAACCGAGAGTGAACCAAGTCTTCCATTTATTTTTGTAATGCTTCTCAATTTGAGTCCTGGTACGTGCATATTTGGTCATGTCAGGCACCAGGTCAGTGCCTATGATGTTGAAGAGTTCGGCCACTTCCTCATCACTCCCAAGCGAGTTCAGCAAAATTCCTTCCGATCTCAACACCTTCACGTCATCAGGGTGGTCTATGAGGGAGTCCAAGAAGGAGACGTAAGAGCAGATTCCATAGTCGTTCTCAAAATCTGGACACATCTCATAGGCTATTAAATTCAACATGGTATTGGCTGTTGTGTCATCTACCACGATCTCTGGAAGCGTCAATTCTGAACGGAGAAAACCCTTGGAGAATGATATGTCACTCGGCCTACGTGTTCTACTGCTCTTCACTCCGATCCCTGCTGCTCTCAACTCCTTTATGTTTCTGCATATATATCATTTATCAAATATTAAAATAATTTAATTTCTCAATGTTAATTATACTTTTTATCGTCATCCAAGTTGAGTTTCTCACCTAACTTAATTTTGAAGTTGCATATGCTATCAACTCTTAAAATCTTGCACATTTTAATTTGTCACCTCGTTTATTGAAGATTTGTTTATGCTAGTTTACTGCTGATAAGACATATTAACTCCTCAAGTGTTATATTCGATCGTTACTAACATAACACATTAGCTCATATGTCATCATTTATATTATTTATATATTACATCAACCGTCAACATATCAGTTCAGCAATTAATATTTCAGAAGTCAATTAACGGAAACATATATGATCAATTAATGGAATAACAAATGTGGAAAAGTTTTAAAATTCATAACAAAATATACAATTACAAAAATGGACAATAAAATTTACAAAATTGTATAACTTAAGTAGTAAAAATACAATTAAGCTTATAATATATTAATATTATTATATAGTTTATAAAACATGTATCCTCTAGACAATCTTATAAATGTCAAAATTCTGATCATTATGAATATATTTAACTTAACTACACACACTCAATAGTTAAACTCAAAAACACTTTTTTTATATTTTTGTGCTTGAAAGTTTAGGGTCCTAGAAATTCACCAAAGCGAGAACACCTCAAGATTCTATGAATGGTTATAGAGATAATTACAGATTATTTACCACAAGGTCCTTACATTAACAGGAATCAAATTAATCTACGTCTTTTTGGAACATGAATCTTGCAACTGAACTAACCTTTATTCACTTATTAAATCGTAATAACCCGATCGACACCGGTTGATTTAAGCTATTATATTATAAATAAACACACATATAATATATATTATTATACGTTATAAGAATAAACATATATATATATATAATATAGTGTTGAAGCATGAATAAAGAGATGTTTACGAGGGATACACCTATACTATACCTGTATGTGACCATTTCACTTTCACCAGTGTTTTGATTTGGGTCATTATTCTGGTTCTGCTTTTTCTGATTATCTTGAGGGTCATGCAGGATGATAGTGCGCTGAAGATTGAGAAGATGAACAAGTGGCATATTCAGCGTTAAACCTTTGAGCTTGGTTTTATTATGATCCTTTTCGGTGGCCCAATGATGACATTTGAGAAAGTGTTTCATCATTTGGATCAGCGATGATTCCTCCTGGTCGCGTACCCACAGCAGCTTGAGCAACTCGTACGGAAGCTGGTTCTCCAGCAGAAGCACGTCCATCATCACAAGAACCAGCTGGTCCACCTTCACGTTCAGCTTATTCGGTTTGCTCAGATCCGCGTTTCCGAGAATCTGCAGAAGCGCGCACCCGTCCACGAAAAGCATCCACGAGATCATCTCGTCCACGCTCGCGAAGCCTCGGGGGTCGTTGGAGAAAAGATCGTCGCCAAACATGCCCTTGAGCTCTTCCACATTGGCTGCAACTGCAACTTTACTGTATAGGGCTTGTGGGGTGGTGTTGTTGTCGCGGACGTAGGTTGAGGCCCACATATGCTTGTACTGTTCTCCTAGCTCCAGCTTTGGGTCACCGTGGTGGATGGGGCCCAGTGAAACTAGCTTTGGAGAGTAGTGCTTCTTCAAGTGCTCTCGGTCTCGGAGATGCTGTGCCACGCGTTGGATTTTGGGGACACAGGGTTGTTGTGGCCTTTGATACGCTTCTAGCTGTGACAGTCTTTCTTTAAGGTTTGAAGTCCCAGACATTGTGTGTGTGATAATGCTTGTGTTGAGGGTCAGAACTCGGAAGTGAGAAACTATGAAGCTTTGATGATATATATGATGATCATGTAAAAGGGATAAGGAATGAATAAAGTTTGGTTTCTCATGCACGATAAGTAAATTGCAGGCAAGGAATAAAGCTATACTCACTTTTACTGTTTGAGTTTTGTATACTTGGAGTGTATTTAACTGACATTCTTTCCCAACATTGCGGCTATTTTTTTTTTCTTCTAGTAAAACAATTGTTTGTAAACTAAGGTGTTTTTTATTTAATGATACTTGTACACAAAATTGTACAACATGTATATATGACTTTACTTTTGTATACATCTCTATCTTTCTCTTCCTCTTTAATACATATCTCATTGTGATAAATAGATAAAAAAAAATGTTGTATAAATTGTTATACAATTTTATTGTAAATTTATCATTATTTATTTATTTATTTATGAGAATTGAACTTAATACTAAAAGTTTACAGTATTTACATATCATATCATGATCAACTATTCAAATTAAACTCCTTTGGTAAAAAAAATATAGTTTAGTTTTAGATTTAGTTTTTTTTTCTTTGTAACTTTTAGTATTTTCTCAAAGTTTCATATCATGTTAAAATTAATTCAAGTGGGTTTGTGTGGTGTTCGTGTCAATGGTGACATTGTTGTTAATAATAATAATATCAATAATAAAAATTGCAATGATGGTAACATTGCTAATAGGTGTAATGGTAGTAGTTTTAATGATTATAGCATTAGTAGTGAATGTAAAATAGATCATTGTCAAATGTAGTTAAGGATGACAACAGAGCACAACGAATATGAGTTTCATTATCTTCATCACCGTTTCCAATTCTCATACTCTATACTTGTTTCCGTCTACATACTTAAGGGTACAAAATTTGTATTCTCATCCTTGTCCTCATCAAATATTAAGCATATCAAGTTCATATCCATATAAAAATTAATTAAATATTTTTTAAAAAAATTAAAAAATTTAACATAAAATAACAATTTCAAAATTATATTAATTAAGTTTTATTTGACATAAATTTAAAGTAGAATAAAAATTACATAAATGTCATGTAAATTTTTAAAAAATAAATTAAGTTTATATAAATTTAAAGCAAATACCAATACAGGACATGTAAGTATTTATTCATCTTCCTCCCCGTATCAATTTCATAAATCAAGTATTATTCGTACTCATATCCAATCAAACCAAATATTTTTTATCAAAGTTGAAACAGGTTCAAATATTACTAATATTTACTTGTCATCCCTAATGGTGTGTTTGGATGAGGAATTTTACAAATTCAAGGAATTTTAAATTTTTAGTATTTGAATTACTTTGATTTCAATTTCTATCATTCTGATTTTAAAAATATATTTATATGTTGAGATTTTTAAATTAAATTTTATAAAAATAAATATTAGCTAATTTTAAAATATTTAATAATTTTAAAAATTAATATTAAATAATATTTAATAATTTTAAAAATATTTGAATATTCAATAATTAAAAACATTAAGAGATAAGAGATAAGATAAAATATATAAGTGAAATAAGAAGAAAAAAATATGAGAAATTTCAAATTCTTACTCTTTTGGGAGAATTTGAAATTCTACTATTTCAAGGAATTTCACAAATGCTTGAATTTCAAATTCCTTATAAATTCTTCATCCAAACAAGGTCACTTCAAAGAATTTGAAATTCTTCAAATAAATGAATTACTCCATTTAAATTTCTCATCCAAACACACTATAAATGTATTAATCAACAGAGGTGTTTTTTTCAAAAATAAAAATAACTAAAAACTGAAGTCACAAATTACTTTTCTTCTGATTTTAAAGATGAATGTAAAAGTGTTTTGAAATTGAGTTTAGCTGAATGCGTTTTGTTTTGAAAACTAGAGAATAAATAACCTTATAATATAATAATAATAATAATAATATACAAATCAAAGTACTAGCTACATGAAAATTGACCGAATTGGGGTATGTAGCCAATTCTTTTCTACCCTTCTAAGAAATCCAAAAGATGAAATATTGAAATATTTGTTTTCTTTTGGAGCAGCCTAAAGCAAAACTCAAGAAGTCACTTTCACTAAAGTGGTGAAGTATCAAATTCTCTGATCCCCATCAGCTGTTGCCTGAATTTGAGAAGCATACTGCAGGTTCCAAAGGACATCCTCAATAGATGGTCGGCTCCATGACTCGGTAGATATACATTTGTTTGTTATGGAAATCACAACAAATAGAGATTCTTTAGAGCAAGTAGCTTGCACAACTGGGTCCACTACCTGTTTCCAGCCATCCTCACTATTGAAAGATGCCTGCAAAATGTAAAATGGAGTATACTAAATTAACTCCCTTGGAAAAAAATATATATATAAAAAAAATTATGAGGGATGCTCTATATTCTTTCTTTTCTTTAATGTTGAAAGTGCGTTGAAGTGGAAGTAGGAAACCTAATACTAATAGAAGTATGAACATTTGAACTGGTGCTAATTAAACCTACAGCTTATTGGTGAATGCTGACATTCTTACAAAGAATGATAAGAAGTCTCAGTTTGCTTGGTTCACTTTATATTTAAGATACAATCGCCTATTTTTATCAACTCCGTGAGAGAGCTTTTAAAAAAAAGCGATTGTTTCTTAAGGATTAATCATTTCCAAACGTAGTGTAAGACTAGTAGTGGATGGTATTGTAGTCCATTAAAAAGAAAAAAGGACATGATATCTTTTAATTGGAAGATATCATGCAATTTGAACATCTGTTATGCATACCATTACATTCCGCACAATTGCTTCTCTTTTAGCTGATACTGAAGGTCCAACAAGTGCCTCAAGTAGTATGAATGCAAAGCTATAAACATCATCCTCTAAACTTTTCATTTGCCTGAAATTACACGTGTTGAGAAATTCTGCTAATGAAATTCTGCTAAATGTTTCACAAGTTATCCAATTTGCTTGGTGTTGAGAGAGAGATAACATGGGGTCTAGAAAAATCATCCAAAGAAAGAGAAACAAAGCCAAATGATATATGGGAATTCTTACCATGAATTAGGACTTTCTCCTTTTACCTACAAAATAAGAAGAAAAAACATCACCACTGATGAGGATAGATAAAGTACAGCAAGACCACCAATAGTATTAGAAAGAGATTAAGAACCTAACTAAACTATACAAAATTAGGTTGTAAGGTGATAATTGTTTCTCATTTATATTCACTATTATGGTCAAATCATACCATTATTCGATCTGGAATCTCCAACAAATAGAGGGGGAAAAAAGGAAAGAAATCATACCTCACATGCATCAGCTTCTTCTGATATAATGGACAATCCATAGTCACTCAACTTTGCCATCCAATTCTCATTCAACAAGATATTGTTGCTCTTAAGTCGATTTTTGAAGAAACCAGGTATCATGCCAGAGTGTAGGAAGTGAACAGCCTTAGCAATGTTAATTAGTGCTGATAATCTCTCTGACCAATTGAAAACCTTGCCAGGACTTTCTCCTGAACATGCAATTTGACACATTTAAATATAGTTCACAATATAAATAGCTTCACAAACTAATTGGTGAGGACAGAGATTTATTTTCAACTTTCTAGCTTCTTATTAGTAATTTCTTATGTACTCCATATTATATTCCAATTTGAGGGTCTGAATGCAAGCTGGAAAACAGTTACCTACTCAAGCAAGCTTGTTTCACTCTTTAAATGGATTCCAATTTCCAAAGCAATTTATGTTTCCATGATATTATTCTCCACTCTGCGTAACTACCACATGGCATTGAATGAAAACAAATAAAGAAAGCCGTAATATTAAACCCCTTTTCCCATTAGACATCCACTACACCCTGCTACTACCGTACAAGGTTTATAATTTTTATATTTCTTGTAAACCTCTGCATCTATTTGTCGGAATAATGGTATTCATGTGAAAACCACTAGTTTAAAACATATCCTAAGCATAAGTTAATGGCTCGTACTTTGATAATGAACACATTTTTAAATTATAAAAGGAAGTGATGTTCGAGACATGATAGTAGGGGATAATCCTATACTAAATGAAGGTTAGTTCTAGCATTGACTTGGTGAAAGAGTATCATAGATTCAGTTATATTATATATTTTAAGACAAGAACGGATGAATTCAACAATTAGAAGTTCCTTCATGCAACTAAATATCTTATATGACTATTGTTATGCTTTTAGATGATTCTATAATAATGATATGACCTTAATGAGTTGGGATTTTAGTAACCCTTAATAAGGGGAAAGAAGCATTATAATCTTACCAGAGATATAAGTCTGAAAAGTCCCATTTGACACATATTCATAAATGAGAAAGACATTTGTCTCATTATGCTCTCCTACAACACCATCAATGCAGTGCCCTAAGAGAGATACCAAATGCGGGTGACGCAGCTTTGCAAGCAAATCCAACCTCAGTTTGAAATTCCTAATTGAATACTTTTTGGACAAAGGTAAACACCTTATTACAACCAGTATCCCACTCTCCAGTTTTCCTTTGTAAAGCTGCAATTTTAGGGAGAAATTTTCGTGAGTATCTCATACGATAAGAAGAAAATATAGATTTTAGTTGCTCAAATATTAAAATCATCTGCCACAATCAACTAAGTCACAACTGCCAACAACTTAATAATGTCTTTTTCTGCTTTGAAAAAAGCATATGTTTTGAACATTACCTTCCCATATGTATTTTCACCCATAAAAGTAGAGTTGTCAAAGTTATTGGTGGCTTCCTTTAGCTCTTCCAAGGAATATGACCGGCACATGGGAAGGTCATCCCTGCCTATCTTTGCAGCTTCAGAAACATACCCTGAAATTAGTAACCCAAAAGAGAAAAAAATATGAAGTCAATGTTCAAGTCCCTCAATTTATCAAATATATGCATAGAGGTTGTTTGGATACAAGCTTAAAAGAACTTTTAAGCTTTTCTTATTGAAAATAAAAAGCTTCCATTGATAGAAAAACTCTCAAAAACACTTCTAACTTATATCCAAACAGATTTATAATATTGAATTCATGTTTTCATCCAATGTTTTAAAAATCGGTCTAAAACTGCTTTTGCATTGGGCCATTGGCCGTATTTAATTTCCTGCAACATCAAGAACTGCGACAAAATTGCAATGGTGACCGCAATTTAAAATGTTTTTGTCCACTCTTGAATGAAGAGAACCTACTTGCATTTGTGACAAACTCAGAGGAGAACCCTGCTGGATAGCTATCTTGAACTGTTTTATGCAATAGGTGCTGCTCTGACATCCCCCTAGGGAAACACCTCTTACAAGTTATAACAATGATCAGACCCAAAACCACAACGATCGCAAGAATTCCCACAATGACCCCAACAAAAATTCCAACTCTGTATGATTTCTTCTTCACATGGACTTCTGTGCAATAAGATACTGCATGCTGATGCTGCAGACTTCCAGATAAACAGTTTCCATCACTCTTAACCACTCTGTTTTCTGATTCAGTGCTCAGTGAAGAAGGCAAGCCCCCCACAAACCTATTATATGATATGTCAACAAATCTAAGTAGGCTGCTACATCTTAGGTGACTTTGGAGTGGTCCATTCAGCATGTTGGATGCCAAATTCAAGTAACTGATGTTTGGCAAAGAAAAAAGTGCAGCAGGAGCAGTGCCTGTGAGTGCATTGAAGGAAACATCAAGCTTCTGAAGCCTATTTAGTTGACCATAGTGCTTGGGAATTTCACCTGAGAAGGAGTTTCTGCTGAGGAAAAGCCTCATCAACCCTTTTGGCATTGCAGGTAGTTCAGACTCTAATCTGTTTTCCCCTAAATCTAGATGTTCCAAACTACTCAAAACACTAAAATCTTGCAAGCTCCCTGATATTTGATTGCTTGACATGTCAATCTCAGTTAAAGTGGTGACACTAAGGATTGAAGGTGGAAATGGACCCTTTAATTTGTTATTCTTCAAACTAACAACTGTGAGATTGCTTGACGAATTGAACAAGCTTGGGATGGTACCATTGAAGAAGTTATCACCCAGTCCAAGAATTTGAAGGTTTACCATCGTGCAAATCTTTGGAGGGATTGATCCATAGAGATAATTGGAACTCAAGTTCAAATGTTCAAGTACATGAAGTCTGTGAATTCTATCAGGGAGTGGTCCCCACATGCCCAAAGAGACAAGAGAAAGGACTCTCAGGCTAGTTAACCTTGCAAGAGTAGCCACAAAAGAGTCCATGGAGAAGCCTTGTGATAGTGTTTGATTTGGAATGGCAAACCCATCAAAATCTCTACCCTTTGTTGGCTTATCACCCAAGATGGTGAGCTCAGTGACAAAATTGTCCTGGCACGTGACATTCACTTGTGCAGAAGAGGAAATAGAGCAAAGATCTGTCCAACGATCCCTCCAAATTTCCAATTGTTTTGGGTACTCCAAGTGCTTTTTCAACTGGAGAAGCACTTGGGTCTGAGAGGATTGTAACTGAGCACTGCAACTACCCACATAAAAGATACACCAAGCTGAACATAATAGCAAAACCAAGTCATAAAACCCCATCAGAAAATTCTACACTTCTATTGGCAGTGCTTCAAGGAGTAAGGAGCAACTTCATACAAAGAATCCAATTGGAAACCTGTCTTAAATAAATGCAAAAGAAGTTCCATTAAAATAATTGAAAACACGAAACAAAGACCACCACCCCAATAAATAAATAATATAATATAATAACAATAATATGAGGATGACTTGCATAGACATTAAAGTTGACTACCTTGTATATTTTGACCATTTGAACTGTTGAGCAGAGATGGTTGTAAACATTAATGAACAGAATGTAGTAGAGATTTAAGAACCGGTTAGTGTTTAGAAGGAGGATTCAAGCATTGGATGTGAATGAAGGAGAAGTAGTATGAGGGTAAAGAGAGAGAAAGAGACAGAGAGAGAGAACTACATTAATAGCATCTGTACAAGGGTCTCTCTTATATAATGAATACCTGAGATGTAAATCAATATCAATATACTAGTATTAAACAAAAGAAAATCAAGTTGTGGTCTTTCTTCAGAATCCGAGATACCAAAGTGGGGTACCTGAAGTTAATGCATTTACTGCTACCACATGGTGAACCTTCCTGCTGTGCTCTCTCCACCAAATAGCAATAATGGGGGATGCCAGAGGAAAAGGGTAATAAGAAAGGTTCTTCTGAAAGAAAAAGTAGGAGGGAAATGAACATTTATGAAGAGAAGAAACCAATTTTGATGATATATTGTTTCAGCTAAAGTTCAAATACAGACACCACATCCAACCCTCCATTGTTTCTAATTCAACTCGTTAATAAAGTAATTTGGTACAACTCAACATTACAAAAATGATTTATTTAGTAAGATATTTTTGCGAGACTAAACATGGTAAGATAATGGACTCATAAACATCAATCAATAATCATTAAAATAAACTTTAATATTATCTTAAAATAATAATTTAATCCGGTAAAAAAAAGAATCGTACCTACTTACATATTCTAATTTTGCTACATACTATTAGTGGATGTGGATACCTAAGGCAACTATTTACGGATAATGCATATTGGTGAAATTAGTGGATTTTGGGTAAGACATACTAACCAATAACCATGGAACATAGGTTGGTATTTGTTAACCGCAGAAAACAAACAAATAAAACATGGGGTGATGGGGCCATACAATATATGCACTGACTTGTGGTATATGAATCTAACAAACTTGAGGTGGCTAGCGGGGGACCCACAACACAATCATTGTAGAACAATGTCTGTATCTATCCTTCATTTTCACTTGCTGGTTTTGCATTACTTGGGAACTAAAAGCATCAACTCTTCACCTTTAGATTTATCTGTGTTTTTAGTTAAAGAAAACTAACATGTTACCGGACTTGTGCTCACTCCTCTCTCATTGTGTCCTTCACTTATCCTTTGATTATTTGAGCTGTTTTCATTTCATGTTGTCATAAGTAGTTATAAAAATGTAATTTGTTTAATGGTTATGTACCAATCGATGGATTTTTGTCCTTATTTTAATCACATGAAATTTTGTTTGTATTTCAATACTGATAATGTAAAAAGTTTGTGCATCATAAGCTGATTAAAAATCATTGTGCATGAGCCAAAGCGCATGATCGTCTGGTGTGACATTCCAACTTAACAAGTCTTTAGTTTGAGTCTTAAGTACTTAATTCTACCAAGTATTTAATGAAAAAAATTGTAGTTTATAGTACATTTCCCCCTTAAACATAATTGCTTCTACCGAAAAATATTTGTAGTCTAGATTAAAAAAAATAGAGTTAATCACTTATACACTGTCAATATAAAATTTTTTACACTAACAACTAATCAGATCTGTTAATAGTGCATTTTTTTATTTTAATTTAATTAAATGAGCAAATAACATGGCACTATTAACAGATCTGATTGATTGTCGGTGTAAAAAAATTTTACACTGACAGTGTATAGGTGATTAACTCAAAAAAATAATAATATATATATATATATATTGTAAATAACTCTTAAAATGATTTTTATAAAATCCAATAAATTTTACATGACATTTTGTGATTGAATGATAATGTAAAATTTCTTTACATGTTTATATATAAACCATTTTCTCATATAGTATTGTTTTACTTTATTCTTTCTTTATCAATAAATTGTTTAGAGAATAAAGAAATAAAACATAAATAAAGTTATATTTTTGAAATTATATAACTCCTCAATCAAAGATAAGACAAATGTTTAAATGAGTTTAATTTTCTCTTGGTTGGTTAATGAAGATTAGGTAAGGAACTAATCTTAATGGCCGTGGAAATTTTTCTTTAAATGATGGTTCTAGCAAAATCAAAACATATATTTATTTATCACAAGTGACTTGTCATTTAAGCCTAATTATTTTATGTCGAATTCTTTGAATTTTGTAATCTTGGTGGAAATAATTTTTAATTGTATTTTATTTACTTTATAGTCAAATCAGACTATTCTAAGATAAAGTCTTAAAACAATGATATGAAAGTAATAAAAAAAAATATTTTAGGCGAATTAGGATAATTTAATGATTAATAAAATAAAGTCTTAAGACAATGATATGAAAGTAATAAAAAAAATATTTTAGGCGAATTAGGATAATTTAATGATTAATATCCACACAAAATTTAAATAGGAAACTAAATTTTAAAAAAGCGTTTGAAATAAATATTATGTTTTTTTTAATCAAATGACAAATATTTGTTACCTGAGCTTTTGAAATATTTGGACCGAGCATGAGTTAGACTCTCATTTAGTGCTCAAATAAGGGCCGTAGTTCTTACTTAGAGGTAAGAAAGCTATTATATGGATAATAATTTGTGACGAAGAATGTTGACAACGTTTTATCTAATATAGTACATTTTTTAAAAAAATATTATTTTTATCATTTATTAAAATTTATTAGAAATTATTAAAAAAAATTGTGTAAATCTCAAATCTTATTTAATAAATATTTTTTTACGATTTTAATATTTTTACCTTTCTTTTTAGATTTAAGAAGAAAATAATATATTAATAAGTTTTGTATGACATAATTTTAACTAATCAAACATTATTTTAATATTGATAAAAATCAAATTCTAGAGCATTAGGTAAACCTTTTATATCTTAAAGAAAACCTTACAACTATTAAATCAATAAGTTTAATTAATTGGTTGATATAATATGAGTTTGTTTGGAATTTTGATACAAGTATATCACTACTACAAAAGATGTATTTTATATATGTTATTTCAGGCTTTTTACGTCGTAAAATAGTTCAATGTTAATGCGTGAGACGTAAATTTACGTCGGACATCGCCAAGGACCGACGTAAAATTGTTGCCAACAAGAAAATCTCCACCTTCACCTCCACCTCCTCTACTTTGGACGTGTATTTGTTAGAAAATATGGATCCTAAATTCAGAAGTCAGATCCAAAACTCATTCACATATATACTAACCTCAAATCGTCTAAAACCCAGAAAATGCCAAATCCAATCGATTAGAAAGATCTAGAATCACCCATGGGTGTCGAGAAGCCCTTCGTCGGAAATCGTCGTGACTGAAAACGCCTACAGGTACTCGAGGAACCCTTCGCCAGAAATCACAGTGACTAAAACTCATACAATAGTTGTTGCTCGACCCAGCAAGATTCATACTATCATACACAATGAAAGGAGGCCAAAACTCATTCACATTTATACTAACCTCAATTCGTCCAAAACCCAAAAAACGTCCAATCCAATCGGTCAGAAAGATCTGGAATCACTCACGGATGTCGAGAGGCCTTTTGTCGAAAATCGCCGTGACCAGAAACGCCCACACGTAGTCGACGAACCCTTCGCCGAAAATAGCACCACCAAAAAAAACTTCCTCTGTTGTGTAAACCTGGCGCGCGCTAAGAAGACGAAGTGGCTGAAGGGGAAATAAAAAGCTCTTTTACGTCGGATTACACTGGGGCCGACATAAAATTAAAATATACACCGGACATCAGCCACATCCGTTACGTCGGTCCCAATGTAGTCCGACGTGAAAATTTTGTTTTATTTTCAAAATTGTCACCGCATCTTTTTCACGTTGGATATTTTTATGTTCGACGAGAAAACGCTAACATAAATTTTATATTTTGCACTAGTGTATATATGTTTTTTAGAATTTCTTTACTGAAAATACTTTTTACTTTTTGTAGAAAAATTCTTAAAAACATTTCTAATTTATATGCAAACAAACTTTATATTAATTTTAATATCATATATAATTTTAAAAAAATACAATTAAAGAAGAGTACAATCACTAGTGCAAAAAATTGGATTTAAAATCGGAGTTTTAAGATCGGTTAAAAAAGTGACACGGTGACAATTTTGTAAATAACATGAACACTTTTAAGATCGGTTATTTTATAACCGATCTTAAAAGTACTTTTAAGATCGGTTATAAAAGAACAGATCTTAAAAGTACCACTTTTAAGATCGGTTACAAAAGAACCGATCTTAAAAGCACTTTTAAGATCGGTTATGAAAGAACCGATCTTATAACCGATCTTAAAAGTACTTTTAAGATCGGTTCTTTTATAACCGATCTTAAAAGTGCCACTTTTAAAATCGGTTCTTTTATAACCGATCTTAAAAGTACCATTTTTAATATCGATTCTTTCATAACTGATTTTGTATGTAGTATACAAAATCGGTTCTTAATTAACCGATTTTAAAAGTATTGTCTGAAATCTGTTATATTCCCCTCCATTCTCATTTTCTTTAATCTTTCTCATTTTCTAAAGTCTCTAGGTAAATTTCGTTTTCATTTCCGTCTACTTATGTTCTTTTTGTGTCTCTTTTCGTTTTCTCATGTTTTTCTCGTCTCAATTTTCGTTGTAGGTTCATTTTGAAAAAATTCGCAGCTGGAACGGCCCGTTCTGCAAGGAGAACGGCCCGTACTCCTTGGAGAACGGCCCGTTCTCCAAGGAGTACGGGGCGTTCTCCAGGTATAAGATTAAAGAAAATGAGAATGGAGAGGAATATAAAAGATTTCTGACAATACTTTTAAAATCGGTTAATTAGTTATATTTAAGATCGGTTATAAAACAACCGATCTTAAAAGTTAACTTTTAAAATCGGTTGTTCAACCGATTTTAAAAGTCTAACTTTTTAAATCGGCTCTTTCAAAATCGATTACAGAACCGATTTTAAAAGTAAAAAATAACCGATTTTAAAAGTCTTTTTTCTACTAGTGAATTATAATTAAGTGAAATTTTATGATACATACTTCAAGATGAATAATATCAATATAAATATAATATCATATTATACAAAATATCTTTTATTAAATTAAGAAATTGTATTATTAGTACATAATTATTTAAAAAAAATATACCTTTTAAAAATATGTAGAACATGGAATCTTGTTAGGACAAACATAACCCAAATTCATCCTTAAAAACATATCGAGTTTAATTCAGATGTTTTACCTTAAAAATCATTACACTTTTTAATGGTTTTAGAATTGAAAAAGATCAAATTTCATTAGTTGCCATACTTAATTGAGTCTAGTTGCAAATCAGTAAATATTGTAACTGAAATTAAAAAAAAAAAAAAAAAAAAAAAAAAAAAAAAAAAAAAAAAGTAAAGTATAATTGAGATTATGGGCTCAGTTGAAAAAAATACTCTCCGTCCAAAGAAGTGAGAAGAACAAACCAAGCACAAGCAGACTAAATGTTGATGTCCTTGGCACCTATCTTGACAGG